ACACACACACACACACACACACACACGCACACACACACACACGCACACGCACACACACACACACACGCGCACACACACACACACACACACACGCACGCACACACACACACACACACACACACACACACACACACACACACACACACACACGTGCACACACACGCACACACACACACACACACGCACGCACACGCACACACACACGCACACACACACACACGCATACACACACACACGCGCGCGCGCACGTGCACACCTTGAAGTATTCGCTGATGGCGGCGGAGTCACGCGTCTTCTCAAACTTCTTTCCGTCTTCGCCAGCCGGCTCTGATGACAAAGGCGATGCGGAGGATGGGCACGCGGCAAGGAACAGCGAAGCATCTGCACCACCAACACGTGCATGACACATGTGAGCGGGACGCAAAGCCTGCGCGCAGCGCACACATGTACAGCCTGATACTTCCACACACACACACACACACTCACACACACACACACTCACTCACGCTTCTTGTTGGCAAAGCGAATGTGCAGTGGCTGTGCATTCATCATTGCGTTGATGGCGTTGAGCTCCTGCGAGTCCTGCACGCACTGTTCAATTGGCCCTGTCAACACCTCGCTACCGTTCTCGTCTGCCATCCCCCATTGCGAACGCGCGAACCAGTGAGCACGCAAGCAAGCCACCAGCAAGCAAGCAACTCATCAGCAAGCAAGCCGTCAGTGCGCCACACACACACACACACACACACACACACACACACACACACACACACACACACACACACACACACACACACACACACACACACACACACCCGGTGACGACTTTGCGAATGCCCTTGACAATTGGGTTGGTGGACTGGTAGAAGCCAGGACAGTTGGACACGGGCTTGGCCTGCGCGTAAAACAAACAAAGCAGGTGTGCATGCAGGCATGCGAGGACGCAGAGTGAGGGGACGTGCCAAACGCTGAACGGCCAGGCAAGCAGCCTATGAGCAGTATGAGTGCTCCCTGCCTCGACACCGTGCTCATGCATGATTACGGCAAGTGGAAATACGAGGTGGTGGATGCATAGCGCAAACGTAGCACGAGGCACCTCACCTTGGTGACACATTTGATGTGGCAGGCATAGCGACAGGCTGGAAGGCAGGTCGTGTCGCGTGCGCAGAAATATGCAAGACATGTAAGTTGGCGCACACCGGCAGCAGGGCACCACGAACACCTGTGGCATGACCTCATCCAGCGCATGCGCGCACACACGCACACACAACAAGAGTGTAACGCACTCTTGCATTGCAGTCCGTCGCGCCAAATGCGATGACCACAGAACCGACACGTCTTGCCAGCGCGGCAGGTGTCCGTGAACAGGTGCTCTCGCCACGCCTGACGCAAAAAATTTAAGAGCATCATCGCCATCATCAAACACACGCAGCACATGCTGAAGCGAAGACAATACACCGGCACGCATAGAGCGCACAGCGCACAGAGTACAGCGAACGCACAACACACACACACACACACAGAGCACACGTACACGCACTCACACACACACACACACAACACACAGCACAATGCGTACACAATACCGTGTCTGTGTTGTCTTGTACGGATATGCTGGAGACTTCTTGTTCATGACAGGCTTCCCAGTGGCGAAGCAACAGTGTCTCAGACTCAAAGTTAATCAAGTTGGGGCATGCGGGGCAGATGAAGCCCGATATGGGGCCGGTTGATGTCCCCGTCATCTTCACCTTGGACATGGACGATGACCTCTCAGCCTTTCTCAAGGTGGATGGGGATGCCTGCGCTAGGGTAGCCGCTACAGATGTCGTCGCAGCTCTGCCTCGACTGCGAATCGCAGGTACACCGCCCTCCCCACTCCCAGACTTCTTTCCTCGCAACGGCACATCCTCACGCCGTCGAGGCATCACGCCCAAGGTGTGTGTGTTGGTGTGTGTGTCGCTTGCGTCTTCTTGTTTGAAAGTGTGTTTGTGTGTGTTTCCGTCCGTCCGCTCTCTCGAACAGAAACCAAAACACTTCAGTTACTACACTTTGTGCTGTTGGGCGGAGGAGCTGTTCTCGTTGGTTGTGGCGACCACGCTCTGATGTGACGACCTTGTATTGTGTGTCACATACACACACACACACATACACACACACGTACACATGCACACCATACACGCAACTACTGTAAGTGCAAGCAACGCCGAAGCTGGCTGGCCCTAAACTGCCTGGCTACGGTTGATTACCCATGCCAATTGCCAAAACGCAATTCACACGACATGACATGACATCACACCACCCATCTCACTCTCCAGTGACCATGGCCTTGCTGCTATCCTCTCCTTCCTTGATCGCCTGCTGCTGGTGCTGGTCTGCCTGCTGCTCGTGCACATCGTCGCCGACGGGGAACGCGTGCGGGACGCTGGAGAACTGCCCGAAGCGGAAGTTGGGCTCTGTGTGCGTGTGTAAATGCGTATGTGTATGGTGTATGCGTGTGCGCGTGTGTACGTGTGTGTGCATGCGTGTGTGTGTTGGATAAAGGGAAAGGGAAACGATGGCGAGAATGAGGAGAACGAGACGGGTGAGGGTGTTTCGAAAGAGTGCTGGGATGAATGACAAGAGCAAGGCACGCAATATCAACAACGAAAAAGTACCACACGTTCGCACAAGTGCAAATTCACACACACACACACACACACACACACACACACACACACACACACACACACACACACACACACACACACACACACGTCAACGCACCCTTGAGGTTGATGTGCCCCTCGGACTGCTGGGTGGAGGTCTGCACGGCAATGTGCACGTCGTAGCTCTGGAAGCGGTTGGTGCGCATGGCGAGCTTCCCGCGCAGCGTGTCGCCCGGCTGCACAAGCACGCTCTCCCGCAACAGGCAGCGCACCTGGTACCAGTGGGTGAGGGGCGCATACGGAGACGTGGACAGCGGCACCTGGAACGAAGTGCCCTCAAACATGTTGTCAAACCACGACGCAAGCCCGTGGATCTGTGTGTGTGTGTGAGTGTGAGTGTGAGTGTGAGTGTGAGTGAGTGTGAGTGGGAGTGTGAGTGTGAGTGAGTGTGAGTGTGAGTGAGTGTGAGTGTGAGTGAGTGTGAGTGTGAGTGAGTGTGAGTGTGAGTGAGCGTGAGCGTGTGGGTGTGTATGTGTGAGTGTGTGAGTATGCGCTTTTGTGTAGTTTTTGCGTTTGAGTTTGAGAGTTACATGGCAAGCAGTGAGCGAAACACACGCGCGCAGCGAAAGGCGAAACAAATACGAGACAGCCGTCATCATGGCACGGCCATCACGACCCACCTCAACCGGGTGCGGGAACGTGTACGAGAACTCCATGGTGATCTGCAACAATAGCACAGCAACAATGATGATGGTGGTACAAACCCGTCAGTATCATTCACGCGCAAACGAGAACAGCTGTTGCGAGCAACCAATTGCAGCGTAACCAGACAATCACAATCCCTTCTATGAAGCATGGACCATCACCATCGCCACTAATTCTATCAACCATCACCACTACCACTGTCATCATGGGACGATGAGAGCATTGCCGTCACCTCGAAAAAGTCCTTTGCGTCCATGGTGAGGTAGTCGAACTTGCGGTACACGGGCGCTCCAACCAGACACTCCGGGTTGATCTACAGCACCAGGGAACACGTGCGTTTGTATGGTATGGTGCGTGCGTTTGTATGGTGTGTGTGTGTGTGTGAGCGAGAGAGCGAATTGATGATGATGTCTTCTCCTTCACCACTGACACTCGCTCACCCTCCGCGTAATTACTATTCTCTTCTCCGCCTTCCACCGCCTCCCTCGTCCCGCCAACCCAACGCAACTGCTCCACCAGCACTCCACCTCATGTGTGTTGCTCACCTGCTCGACGCACGGCTGGCTGAGGTACTCGTCGAGGGCGGCGGCGTGCAGCGGCGTCAGGTCAATCCCGTGGAACTGCTTCGTCTGCCAAAACTGCGCCTTCTGCTGCGTCTGCTCGCATGCAAGTGGAGGTGGTGGTGGTGGTGAGATGGTGGTGATGAGCACGCGGGAAGGGATGTGATGTGGTTGTCGTGAACGTACGTGTGTGCGTGTGTGTGTGCGTGTGTGTGTGTGTGTGTGTGTGTGTGTGACATTGCACCTCGAGGAAGACGTTGGCGTCGGAAAACGGGCAGATGAACAGCGTGGAGTTGGTCGGGAACATCTTGCCGCCGGGTTTCAGCCTACATGCGCACACATACGCACACGCAGATGCGTCAGACATAACGTGTCAGACTCGTGGCTGATGCAAGGCTGTCATACATCATGATTGCACATTGAAACACACACCCACTCACTCACCCACTCACCCACTCACGCACACATAATCACACACACACACACACAATCACACGTACGCACCACTTGCGGGCGTGAACGTAGCTCTCGAGCATGCGCTCGTTGACGAGCATGATTCCCAGGGGTTCAGAGATGATGACATCCACAGGCTCCGGCAGGTCCGCCTGTTTCGGGGGAGGGGGATGGACGAGAAGGACAGGGAGGGACAAGGGATTGGGAATGGGTGGGGCAGGAACGTGAAGAGAGGAATAAGGACGGGGGGGGGCGCTTGCAGTACGAAAGTAAACGCATCCTACACGTTTCCGACACACACACTCCGACACACACACTCACACACATGCACACACATGTATACGCACGCACGCACACTCACACATGCACACACATGCATACGCACGCACACACACACACACATGCATACGCACGCACACACACACACACACATCTCCACGATGGCACCAGGTGGACGTACGTCTTCGACTTTGCACTGCAGGACGGTGATGACGTGTTCGAGGTTGTTCCCCTTGACGAGCGCGCGCGCACACTCCGCCATGTGGCTCCCTTCCACCGCATACACCTGCAATCGAGGGAGGGGGGGGGAGTGGCGAGTGAATCAGTGCGTTCGAAGTGCAGGAGGATGTATGGAGCAGATGAATGTGACAGAGGCAGTGGGTGTGTTGGCTGAGGCACACGCTGCACAGATACCACTCGCACACCAAACGTTACCGTCACGAATGACGCATCATCAACTCCGGCCGTCTTCACCACCAGCGCACCTTGCGTGCTCCCGCCTGTGCTGCGAAGAACGACAGCAGACCGCTGCCGGCGCCCACATCAAGCACAACCTGCACACCACGCGCGTGATGTGAGGAGGTGCGCGCGCGTGTGTGTGCGTGTGTGTGCAAATGTGTATGTGTGTGTGTGTGTGTTTTCGGTGTGAACCAAAGGCCTGTGGGATGGCATGTCGCACTGCACACGCAGTGGAGTTCCAGTGCACCTTGTCCTTGAAGTCGGCGTGGTTCTTGAGCATGGCGTCCCGATATGTGGACGTCCTTACAAAGTCCTGTGCAGAGTGAGTTCGCCAACACACGTTATGCATGGTGGGCATTGTCAAGAGACACGCTTTCAGGCACTCACATACAACACACACACACACACACACTTGCAAACACACACACACACACACACACACACGCGAGACAGAATGGATTGGAGTTCGTACCCCCATCATGTTCTGCTGCTGGGAAAGATGCGCGTAGTACTACACAGAGAAACAAAGCGGCACAGAGTGTCAGCCATGAATGTTCAGTGAGGGCTTGAGGTCAGCATCCACGCAGCAGCCATTGAAAACACACACACACACACACACACACACACACACACACACACACGCGCGCGCACACACACACACACACACGCACGCACACACACACACACACAC